CCAGCGCCGCGGCGCCACCCGCCGACCCCCGCGCTACCCTGGGCGCCCCTCGCTGCCGGCGCAGAGCGCGGCGGACGGCCGGGGACGGGATGGAGGACAAGATGTGCCCCGTTCCAAAGCCGGCTCTCTGTTTGGGAGACAAACGACAGGCCAGTCTCGTATTGGCCGCTGGTGATGAAGGGTGTTCCCAGAATAGCCGAAGGTGGACCGTATCTTACTTTAGTGCCCCATAGGGTATTTCCTGCTCCTCTAAAACGACTCAGTCTAGGGTGGTCGAGAATCCCGTTCAGAAGTTAATAGAGTGACAAAGTAGTCAGGGAAAGCAGTTGAGTTTTAAATGCATAACTTTACAGAAAGAACGTTTTGCTTATTTATGGAGCTGTTTATGGAGACATTTGAATGTCCTGCCGTTCACGCTGAACGTAGTTGAGATGCACATGCAACAACCACGAGTTGAATAGAAAGAGCAGGCCAAGAAAGGAAGCGCTTCTTTCGCATGGCTGGAGGGAACTCAGGAAGGAAAACAGCCAACAGAGGTGTCTAGATGGAGAGGATGGAAATGCATGTGTGGGGGAAGGGGCAGATAGTCTGTTCTTCCAAGTGTGCTTGTATGTTTCTGTTCTTTAGGAGGTTTAAGTGTTTGGTTTAACTATTGTTTGAGGTTTATACCGTAATCTGGTATCTTAAAATGTGTCGGTTTTAGAAAGGTTTTAACATTTGTGGGTTACACGGACATTGGTAGTTCTGTCTCCCAAAGAAATGTAACTCCCAAAGAAAATTTTGAAATAAAATCCTATAAGGGCTTGCTTTACTAAGAAATTCTGCATCTAAAAGTTCTTGATATTTAAGTTAACATCTGGTTACGTGTTCCCACTTGAATAGTGTTTGGGATAAGCTATTCTTAAGATTTCATTCTCTGTTTCTGGAAAAATTTACTGTAAACCAGACTAAATAATTACAGGATGCTAGTGGCTGAATAATATTTCAATTTCTTACTACCTGCTTCTGGTGGGCACACTTGGCTGGTTCAATTATTTTTAATACCTGCCTTAAAAATAGGTGGAAACAAAACTTTAATTTTTCATAATATCCTTTTAAGTTCTCAAGAGCACATCATGGCTGTCATCAAGGCTCTTTGATCTTGGACAGGTGGTTTTATCTCTAGGGAATTAAATAGCACATGGTAAGTACCTGGTAAAGACAGATAGAACCTCATGGGGCTGAATTTGTTCTTATGGTCTAAAATTGCCTCACCTGATCACAGTAATGGTAAATACAGGTCGCCACAATTCTATGTTTATTGTGTATTTTGGGGAAGGTGGTAGGTACATTGTTTGGTCTCCTGCCTTTTTGGTTTTCCAGCCCAATCGGTAAACAAACAAAAATTGAGCATGAGCTCCTAATAGATACGTGTTTACAAACAATCTATTTGTTTTGTGTGTTGTAAATCACACTAAAAGTAGATTTAAAATATGGCATTAAAAAAGACAAACATGTATTTTCTTCTCATACCCCAGTGGAATGTACTTCTCATGTATTCCCTGAAGGAATGTACCCTCCTTCATGGATTCTGCACTAGGTGCTGGGCATGTGAAGATAAACAGGGTTCTACCTCTAGCTTAGTTTGAAGGGAGACACCCTATAGTTCTGGAGTTTACAAAGAAACTGGGAGAACAAATTGTACAGAGGCACAAAGAAAAGAGAAAGCACGGAGCATTTAGGAGACTCATAGTGGTTTAGCACTGTTAAGGTGTGAAGTGTAAGAGAGCAGGGACTGGAAAGAGGGTCAGGACCTTGGATTTGATCCTGTAGCCTGGAGTCACAGACAAATTTTCAGCAGGACAAATGGTCGAGGGAATGCTACTAAACCAGAGACTGGAGCCCCTGAGAAATGATGTCATCCTGAAGTAATTTCTGTGGCACTGGGATGGAGAAGAGTTAGTGGATGTGAGATTTTTTTCTTTTGTGTTTCGTTTGTTTGTTTTAGGTAGAATTATCAGATCCCAATGATTGAAACAGATTTGGGGCAAGGGAGAAATATCTGTGAATATTTTGAAGTATCAAACTTTGCTGAGGAAGTTGAGTGAAAATTTTATTTTGGACGACAAAGGGAGGAATATCTGATTCTAGGTATAGGGGGGAAAAAAAGTGACAAAAAGTTTAGGAAAATTATTGACAGGTTTATTTTCCCAAGTGAAACTTGAGAAAAATTTGGTTTTGATTTGCTCATTCTAACATGCTGAGCTTTCAGCGTGTTACTGGTTTGAATGAACATTACTTGAATTAAAAAATTTGTGACAAAAAGGTTAGGAAAATTATTGACAGGTTTATTTTCCCAAGTGAAACTTGAGAAAAATTTGGTTTTGATTTGCTCATTGTAACATGCTGAGCTTTCAGCGTGTTACTGGTTTGAATGAACATTACTTGAATTAAAAAATTTGAATTTTAAAAATCCTGTTACCCATTTAGTCCAACATTTTTAAGATCCATTCTTAATCTACAGCAGTTGCTCTCAGACTTGTTTCATCAAAACCACTTTGGATGTCCCCTTAAAATAAAATTGCTTAGCCCTGTTACTAGAACTCCTGATTCATAGGTCTGGGGTAGCCTGAGAATTTACATTTCTGAAAAGTTCCTAAATGATGATGCTGGTCCAGGGACCACACTTTGAGAACTACTGCTCTTTAGTTTTCTTACGGCTTCCTACTTGAAATGATTCACATGCAAGGAAACAAGGCACCACCCTGCTTCCTGTAGACTGAACTTTGGAATAGTATTTGTCCAAAGAGGAGTCAGAGTTTCATTTAGGGTTGAGTATCCATATTTGAAATAAACTTTTTTTTTTGTCTGTTGTAGATGCTCAGTAAATGTTTGTGGAAGGAACAAAAGCATAAATGCCAGTGCCTGTTCAGTGTAAGAACAAAATTGATAATGTTTGAAGTTATGTCTTTTAGTTCTTCGATCCCCTTGGTTAATTTTTTCTTCACCTTAACTACTTTCTTGGTTTGTCTGTGGTTGAAGAACTTTTTTTTTAAAACATGCTTGGAGTTCTTTTTATTATTTCCAAATTTCTCTTTCTTACATCTTTACCAGTTTGTAGATTCAATGAATACTCTTGTTTTTCAAGCCAAAGGGCTTACTTTCAAAACATTGACTACTATGTTCAGCCTAGTACCTTGGCAAGATGATTCAGGCTGAGTGAAAAGTTCCCTTCCCAATTTCTGTATCTTTGAGTACAGAAACAGCTGTGAACATCACTGAATTTGGAGCCTCTAATGAATAAGAGTTTTTAGTGACTGAAGTTCATGATATATTGTTAGCTGGAAGGCATCTTACCATTCCACATCCCTCCCTCATTTGCAGATGAGGGAATTGAAGCCCACAGAAGGGAAGAGATTTATAAGCCCAAAGTGAAACAGAGCCGAGAGCCAAGAACCCAAAGCCAAGAAGAGAATTGACATGTTTCCTAGTCTGTATTTCTTTAGATCATTGCTGTCTCTGAGCTTGGCCAAGCTGACTGTAGAGATTAGCTTTAAAGACTGAACACATCATAAGTATATAGAATAAAATAAAAAATTAAAAAGATAAATAAGATGAACATGATTATGATCATTATGACAGTTTCAGGAGAGGTGTTAAACAAGTTCTTAAAAATTGAGTAAAACATGGTTAACTCATTTGGTTATAGCCCAGTGTTATAACACCAAGGTCAAGGGTTCAGGTCCCCATACAGGCCAGCTGCCAAAATTAAAAAAAAAAAAAAAAATGAGCAAACCACTTACATTTACTTTGCACCAAATAGATAAGCAGTAGTATTAGATGGCAATAAGGGTGGCAAAATTAATACCAAACAGACACTTTTTAAGTGGGAGAAAAATTAGGCAACATAAATTAACAAGGGAAATTGTGAAATGTACATTATTGAAGTTAGACTTGGAGTAGATATCCATCAGATGGAAGGAAGCTTTCTGTCTGGCCTTGGCAATGGAGTGAGAACAAATGATCTGCTAGCTGAGGGCTGGCTGTGTGACTTTTAAAACAATTTAAAGTAATGACATATGGGCTTTTTAAAGCAAAGATTAAAAAAACAAGCAGACCAGTAAATAGTGTTTATACAGAAATGCCTGGCTTAAGGTTTGGGTGAAGCTACTGGTGTTTACTAACAGAGCTTTTCTTAATAGCTGTGGGATGTACTCATTTGGGGTATTTCATAATTCTCACTCCAGATTTTTTATACTGATGTAGTTTTAGTAATTTGTGAAAAGAGAACAGGATAGTTTTATGGTTCATAACACTGCTTTCTAAATTTCGAAGAGTGCTATGAGGTATTGGTGGACACAGTTCACTCAGCTTAGTCAGTTTGTCTTGAAGTGGCCTCATGATGATAGGATCGATATGCATCTACACTTCTTGGGGCAACTGTTGGGATCAGTTGGATTAATAGTAATCCAAACATGACTAGGTTTTGAAACTGTGACTTCATTTCTACAGATGGTACCACAGTAATGCTTCAGAACTGGCGTGTCCTCTGAGCCCATTCAGCAGTATGAAGTAGGTTCTGACACCATGGCTGCTCAGTGCCTTTGTTTAGCCTGCGTCTCAGTATTTACACTGCCTTGGATGCTTCATTAGGGCTTTTGTTTCTTTCCTTGTGGTTTCAGGTTGAGTGTGTTTAGATGTTTTATTAACTGTTCAGCAGTATGAAGTAGGTTCTGACACCACGGCTGCTCAGTGCCTTTGTTTAGCCTGCGTCTCAGTATTTGCACTGCCTTGGATGCTTCCTTAGGGCTTTTGTTTCTTTCCTTGTGGTTTCAGGTTGAGTGTGTTTAGATGTTTTATTAACTATATCAACAAGAAAAAACACTGTTAGAAGCATGGTGGGATGGGGGAGCAAATTGAGCATCTCAGAGCTCCTACAGCGAAGAAACTAACTCAGTAAATTTTGGTAAACTGGTATCATTTGAAATTACTAAAATATAAAAGCAAGCCAAAAAAAAAAAAAAAGAAAAGACAAAAATAAAAACCCATCACCACCTTTTCAAAACATCCCATAAAAGTAGCTCTGGGAGAAATTCAATTCCTTGATGATTTTTTTTTATTAGAGTAAGGAACATGAGGTGATAACATAATATTCCTCATGAATATTGGAGACTGGGCACTCCACTCCAGCATTCTGACTTGAACCAACAACTGAAACTCCCCTCCCCCCCTTTCATTGCAGGTGTTTCTTCTACCATAATTGAACTCAGCTTTTCCATGTTTAACCCAACATCTCAAATATCTCCCTGGCAGATTGTCAAGTGCTGTTAGTTCATGTGTGGTACCTAATTAGTGGTATTCTTTTGTTTTTCCTCCCATTTTTGATAAAAATCACAGGTGGGCAATACCCTTAGGGATTCAGGTGGGCTGAGTTTAGTCTTATGGTGCTTCTGTACTAACTTACCTTTCTAAATTAAATGAGTTAGGCTTCTGAAATATTGGAACAGTTGGCAGTTGCTGTAGACTTTTCTGAGCATAATCAACTAATGTTGGCTTGTTATTAGGCACATGCAAGTTTAGTCTCATTTGATTCTGTCATTTCAAAGTTTTTAATGCAATTTATTTTTTACCTAGGTATATGTGAAGACTTTTTTTGGCAGTTTAGCGTGGAAACCATTGATCACCGTGCCTTCATTTCTACCTGCTCTTTGTTGGCAAGGCAGAGTGCCCAAATGAGCAAGATTTCGCAGCAAAACAGTACTCCAGGAGTGAACGGAATAAGTGTTATTCATACTCAGGCACATGCCAGCGGCTTACAGCAAGTTCCACAGCTGGTGCCTGCTGGCTCTGGGGGAGGAGGCAAAGCTGTGCCTCCAAGCAAACAAAGCAAAAAGAGCTCGCCCATGGATCGAAATAGTGATGAGTATCGTCAACGCAGAGAGAGGAACAACATGGCTGTGAAAAAGAGCCGGTTGAAAAGCAAGCAGAAGGCACAAGATACACTGCAAAGAGTGAATCAGCTCAAAGAAGAGAATGAACGGTTGGAAGCAAAAATTAAATTGCTGACTAAGGAATTAAGTGTACTAAAAGATTTGTTTCTTGAGCATGCACACAACCTTGCAGACAATGTGCAGCCCATTAGCACTGAAAATACAACAGCAAATTCTGATAATGCAGAACAGTAGACCTCATCCTTTCTAGACTTCACAACTTGTGGCTTGAACATTAAAGGTGTGACCACCTACATCACTCATATCAATGGCTGAGTGTTGTTTTGTTGCATTATTCAAAGATCCATAGGAGGTCATTTTCTAGGATCAGCACTGAAGAGTTGATTAGTTAAAAATGTTAGCCATATAATTGAATATCTGGTTTAAAATGATACGGATTTTTGTGAGGATCAAAAACCAAAAATTTTTAAGGTTTATAAAAAATTATGTATATCCTGGACCTTGATGTGCTTAATAAATCCTGACTTCTCAAGAAATGCTTCTTTTTTAGGTTGACAAAAGCAATGGGAAACTGGTAGGTCATGCACAAGATTCTTGGTTTTAATGGATATGGTTAATTGGATTAAGAAAAGTTGAATGCCATCTATATTAATCTATTTGTGATTTTATTCTAAATTATGTATTATAAATCCTTATGGCTATAGAAACCAATCACTGTATTTTGGAGTGATTTTATGTATAGCACAAACCTTGTTTTAGCATGATTAATACTGTTTTCCCCAACAAGTACAACTTTTTGAATAGTGAT